GCATAACTTGTTCATAGTATTCTCTTATAAGCCCACTGCCATTGAATCAATCCTGACACATAGCAACTCCCATAGACCTTACAAGGCTATAAAACTTTACAGAAGCAGACTGCTTCATCTTTCTCCCATGGAGCAGCTGGTGGGTTCAAACTGCCAACCTTCTGGTTAGCAGCCCAATGCCTTAACCACAGCACAACCAGAGTTCTTATCCTCTTATAATCCTTTTATTTCTGTAAAATCAGTAATAATGTCCCAACTTTTTTTTTATGTAGTAAGAAATTTATTAGTTATGATGAACTTTATGCCATATATTTTAATATTTAAATAAAAGGGATAAATTCCCTGAAAACACAACTTATCAAAATTGATATAGGAACAAAAAAAATACTATTAAAGCTCCAGGCCAAGATGGCTTCACAGTTAAATTATACTAAACATTTAAGGCAAATAATAGCTCCAGTCTCTTATAGAGACTAGAAATAGATGGGATATTCTCTAACTTATTTTAAGAGCCTGGTGGGTTTGAACCACTGACTTTTTGTTAGTGCCAAATGTGAGTATAAATGTATGTGTATATATAGATGTATGTATATGTGTATGCATCTATGTGACTATATGCACATATATTCATATATATAATATGGCACACAGGAAGCACAGTTACAGATATTGCTTAGGTATAACCAAATATCTCTGGAATTGGTTTTCTGGGTGTGAAGGATTAGGATCATAGTCTCATAGAACATCTTGGTCAATTGGCATAACATAGTCCATAAAGTTGTATTCTGCATCTTACTTTGGTGAGTAGTATCTGGGTCCTTGAAAGCTTGCAAGTAGCCATCTATTGGTCCTTACTTGTCAGAGCAAAAGAAAAAGAAGGAAACCAAAGACTGAAAGAAGAAACTAGTCGACAGAGCAAATAGTCTACATTAACTATGGCTTTGTCTACTATAAGATCAGAATTAGATTGTGCCCAGTTAACACTACTGACCATTATTCCAATCAGAGCCACAAAGATACACCCTGATAGAAAGATGTAGAACAAAACTTCAAATTCCAGGAAAATAAACAAACAAAAAACATACTTACTAATTCATGAGGTCCTCCTGTAGCTAAATGACAGCTTAGCTAACAAAATTATGAAAGTCGCCTGAAATACTGTTCTCCTTTGAAAAATTTACCTATATGAGACTTTATGGTCAACAATTACTTTAAAACAAAGATGAGAATGTAAGGGGGCAGGAAAACTAGATTAATTGAAGCCGAACAATCAGAACAGAAATAATGAGAATGAATGTTCATGCATCGTGAAGAATATAACCAATGTCACTGAACAATTTGTGTAGAGATTGTTGAATGGGAACCTAAACTGCTGTGCAAAGAATCACCAAAAACACAATAAAATACCATTAAAAAAAAAAAAAAATCTTTCAATAGATGTGGCTGGGGGAAGCCTGAAAGGGCCAAAAGCAAGGAAACTTCCAGACTGATCAAAATCTACACCCTGAAACTTTTGAACAAGGTCCTTACTGCTTGCCCTGGTACCACCCAGCTGCTCCAGGAACATAGGCCACTATCCATCCCAGTAGGGCTGAAGAATGCGGAATAATGGTAGCTGGTTTGTGCCTCCTGCTCTTACCTAAGATCAACAGCTTTTCCCTTCATCAAGCACTCCTTGGCTTTTTATGAACCATCAGGTTTCAGAGTTCTGAAATAGTTGATTCTTATGGTAGTTAAGGTGTGTATCAACCTGGCTGGGGCGTGATTTTGAGTAGCTTGGGAGCTGGATATAGTTATTCCCCATGACACTGGATGTTGTGTAATCACCTCCATGATGGAACCTGATGTGAGTAGGTAATCAGTTGAAGAACTGCCTTTGGGTGTGGTCTGCTCCCAGTATATATTAAAAAAACCAAACTCACTGGTAAACCCTTTGGGTTTCTGAGATGGTATATCTTTATGGAAGTAGATTTCCTGGTCTTTCTTCTGCAGAGTGGCTGGTGGATTTGAACTGCCAACCTTTTGGTTAGCAGTCAAATGCCTTAGGCACTGAACCATATATAGACAGGATCCTACATTTGGTTCAGTCTTCAGCTCTAGTTCCTGGACTTAAACCAGTGGCCTTTCCCAATGCCTGCTGATCTTGAGCTTGTTGTTTTCACAGCCTGTGAGCCAATAATCTGCCATTTTACCTGATGATCTTGGATTCATCAGCCTCAGCAGCCAGCAGCTACACGAGCCAGGAGAAGCCTCCAGCTTGCTCCAGTGGGCCTGGATGGCACAGTTGAAGTCCAAGGTTGAAGGGCCTCGACCCCGCCCCTTAACATTCTTAACTCAGACTTCTAACCTAATCTTCCCCTGGAGCTGGGACTCTGAACTCAAACTGTATGAGAATAAACTTCTGTTTGTTAAAGTCACCCACTTGTGGTATTTCTGTTATAGCAGCACTGGAGAACTAAGACAATTCTGATTTTTTTTCCCCCCAAGTTAATACTTGTTTCACAGGAGGAACTGACCTTAGAGCTTCCTGTTCCACCATTTTGCGTGTTACTATGTCATAAAGTTTTGTTTTGTTTTTCATTGTGGTGAAAATGTATGTAACAAAACATGCCATCGCAATAATTTCTATATGTACAATTCAGTGACATTGAGTACATTCTCGAAGATGTGCAACCATTCTTGCTATCCTTTTCCAAGTCGTTAAACCACCATTAACATAAACTCAATGCCCTCTAAGCAAAAACTCTCCTTTCCCTTCTCCCTGTCCCCGCTGGTAACCATGAATCTTTTGTTTCTATGTTTGCTTATTTCACATAAGTGAGATTATACAGTATTTGTCCTTTTACAACTAACTATTTCACTATTTTTTTTTTAAGAGCTTGTTTTACATTCAACATAACAGGTACATTTAGTTTCATTCCCCATTCGCCATGTCCAACTCTAACCCAGTCTCCTCCCCTCCCTATCCTGTAACCACCCCTGCTCCATGCCTCTCATATTTATGCACTCCTGTTTGTCCTGCATTTCCTCAGTTTGAATGTTGGTCCTCTGGTGTCCCATGGTCTATTGCTCTAAGGGATGTATTACCATAGAGTATGTGGGTCATCCTGAGTTGTGTGGTCTACATGTACATCTTATTAACTATTGGGCTGAGAGCCTGCCCCTGGGGGTGAGTTTTATTCCAGGCACAGAATGTATTCCAGGGCCATAGTATTGGGAGTCTTACCAGATTTTTTCTGACCAGTAACTCTGGTTCATTAGCGAGTTTTTGGATTTTGTTCCATATTTTCCCTCCCACTCTATCCAGGATCTCCAGATTTGATCCCTTCCTGAATGGTTGGCATTGGTAGACAGGCACCATCCAGCATGTATATGTGTATGTGTGTGTGTGTATGCCACATTTTATCCATTCAACTGTTGACTGACATTTGATTTTTTCCATCTTTTGACTATTGTGGAAAGTGTGTCAGTAGGTTCTGAACTATATATTGACTAACTAGATTCTCACTATTGGGCGGTTGATGCTAGTCCTTTCTTTACAGAAGAGGGAGCTGAGGTACAAAGAAGCTAGGCAACTTGCCTAAGATCACTCAGCTGGTACGGAGAGTGCTAGCAGCCAGCCTTTGTACCTTTAACCTGATGCTGCACTGCCCCTCACTAAAGATTCTCCTTGACTCAAGCCAGCCTCAAAAGGGTCCAGCATCCATACATAAGAGCATGACTTCCTCTTATAAAGCCCCATGGTACCCCTTAGCGGCCTAAAGCATTCATTTACCCTCTTACTACGTTAAGGTGGCTGGATGGCACAAACGGTTAAGCTCTCAACTACCAGCCAGAAGGTTGGTGGTTCAAACCCACCCAGAGGTACCTCAGAAGACAGTTCTGGTGATCTGCATCTGAAAAGTTACAGCCTTGAAAACTCTATGGAGTACAGTTCTACTTTACACATATGGAGTCACCACAAATTGGAATCGACTCAATGGCAATTAACAACTCAACTACCTGTGCCAGGCACATATTGGGCCCTGGGGAAACAAGTAAATTCCCCATCCAATAGTGGGAGAAGGGACATATAGGAGACTTCACCCAGGTTAGGTGTCAAGGAGGGCAGTCCTTTATGAGAAAGTATCCTTGAAGTCAAGACCCACAGGCTAGAGATTTGGCTGACAGTCAAGAGGTGGGAACTGGGGAGAGTGTCAATGGTTATTTGCTGTGCTTACTGCGTGAGTTATCTCTGTGGATAGACTGCAATTTACTCATTCACTCAGCTGCTGACAGCCTTTGGGCTATGTCCAGGTTAGAGGCTTGGATGAAGCTGCAGACCTCATTCTTTCTAGAGTTTCTCTTGGCCCTATGAGAGAACACATTCCTAGGAGCTGAATTGCTAGGTCCAAGTCTAGATGAAGGTCTCACTTTAGAAAGGCATGACAGTTTTCCAAAGTGTTGGTACAGACTCCAGAGCAAGGAGGACGAGGATCCATCTTTTTATTTTACATAGAAATCTTTCCCCATCCCCTCCCTACAACCATCCCAACTCCCCACTGTGTCTGGCCCAGGCCATGCCCAGCAAAAAAGTTAGCGATAGGCAGGGGCTCCAGCCAGAGGTTGCCTGAGAAGTGTTTTGTCCCATACAGTCAACAAGAGACCCAGGTCTTAAGGACATGAAGCAGTCTAGCTGCATGTGATCATGGCCATAAACAGGAGAGTAGAACCAGGAGCAGACCCTACTGGTAGGAACAATGAGCTAGATAATCAGCTTCCATGGGAAGACCCAGTGTGGCGAGGCTGGTGAGTGCAGGAAAAATATAGCCTCTGAACTCACTTCATCCCATCTGCTGGTCTGTCCCTGCTAGCAGGGCTGGTCCTGGAATAGGGGCTATTCCCCAGTGACCCCCTGCCTGGCCAGCCCTTGGCCTACAAGTTGAAGTCACGTAGCTAGCCCCTAATCAGATTCACTATTCTTGCCCTAACCCCCAGGGGCCAAGGTCAGGGCCCCTGAGCTATCGCAGGAAGGTGTCCAGCTTGGCCTGGGAGGGAGGGGGTGCTGTTCTCATCCCCATTCTATGCTTAGCCTTGGTCTTGGGCTTTATAGGCAATGGGCGGATAATAGCAGAGTCAGTCTGGAAGTAGATGTCAAGGAAGAGGCCTGAAGAGATGCCTGGAACAGAGCAGGAAAGGCTTAGACTTGGATGCGGGCAGCCCTGCTACCCTGAGCAAGGCCTGTCTCTGCATATCTAAGGCTGCAGACACTGACAGGCTGGGGCCTGGGGGTACCAATGAGGGATGGTGTTGGCTCTACAACTCACTTCAGCCCAACCCAGCACCACAGAACAAGGATATAGGTTGGATGAATTTTGTCCTGCCCCCAAGTCCATCGAAGCCTGTCCTTACCTAGGGCAGAAGGAAGAGGTGAATAGGGCTAGGTCAATGGATTACGGATATGGCTGCCCAGCCCCACTCGAGAGGGCTGGCACCTATCACTTGTGGGGAGCCACACTCACCGCATCTGTGCTATGACAGGACTCTGCCCTGGTCCTCTTGGGCTGTTTGTGGCCCAGGAAGGCATTCCGGATGAAGACTGGGAAGGCACTAGCCAGTTCCTCATCTGGCTCTCCCACACAGCGCTGGCCGCCCAGTGAGAGCTGGCAATCCTGCAGGGGAGATGCCAGTGCCAGAGCTGATGAGCTCAGTGGCAGCAAAGGAGAATGGGGCTGTTAACTGGAGGCAATATAAGGAGTAGGATTAGGATCTCTAATGCCTTGCTAGAAGGCAGAAAGGATAACAAGGAGGGTCCCAAGGGTGAATCCGAAGTGCCTCAGTCCTAGACCAGGGTGAGAAAGCTCTGACAAGACTCTGACTTCCTAGAAGTCCAGCTTCATGCCCAGTCCTGGTAAGGACTGGATGGTGACTGCCAGAGCTTCTTCTGGGAAGGTCTTACCTGCTGAGGGCCTTTAGGCATCTTCTTGAGGATGTTCTGAACAGGAGAGCTGCAAGAGGGAGATGTGAAGGCAAGAGGCAAGTGAGCTGGGCTCAGAGCACGCCCCTTGGGGAACCATAGTGTGGCATGGCTACTATCGTGGCTGTGTGCTGGGCAAGGCACCTCAGCATCTACAACCTGAAGTGCAGGTCTGGGAATAGCTAGGCAGCCACAGCTGGCTCCATGGTTTGAGATGGCCCCACTTCAAGCATAAGCCTTAGGAGCACACAAAGAAAGAGGAAATTCAGAGAGCCCCTGGCAAAGGACCCTGGTGGACAGGCATTCAAGGTGTTGGGAGCACTTTTCTAATGCTGCTAACCCAGACCCACCCTTTTGTGTTCCCTCCACTGTCAGCTTAGTGCCTTAACACTTTTGATGGTGAAGATTAATGAGATAGGCAAGAAAAAGATTTTGTGCAGAATGAGTGCTCAGGAGAGGTAAGAAGTAGCTGGGAATCAAAGCCATGGCCAAGTCTAGGTAGCCCTCACTGCCCTGCCATTAGCCACTCAGAATTCTCAGGGCAGGGCCTACAGAGATGTCTTAGCTCTCCTTCCTCTAGGCCATGGACAGGGCCAGGGATTTCCACTTACTGTGCTTTCTCCAAGCAAAGCTTCTTTACAAGGCCATGTTGGGAGCTAGAAGGCTGGGCCGGGGGCGTGTCCACATCAAAGGTGGCATTGAGGTCAATGTCATCGCTGAAGGCTGGCCGGCGGAGCTTCAGGTTTAGCATCTCCATAGGAGCTGGACTAAGGGCAGAGATGGCCTTGTCATTCAATATCACAGAGGCAGCCCAGAAGGACAAGTATTAAAAATGGCTCAAATCCAGAGTCTTGGAGCCTACTTCTGGCACAGGGCTACCCCCCAAAGAAACCTTAATTTCTACAGAATAAACCATGTGGCTCAGTCCTTTGTACAGTCATGTGACCAGTAAAAGTCTGGAAGATACGAGAGGAAGCAAGCAAAAAGCCAGACAAAACCCAAACATACAAATAGAAGAACTGCCCTTTGATCAAGCAGCCTCATTTCTTAGAATGTAGCCCAAGCAGCCAGTCAGAAATGTGGTCACAGATTGATGTAGAGGGTTTTTTCCCGACCAATGTTAATCATCACGGCAAATGACACTGTATTAGAAGCCACGGAAGTGACTCCCCTGGAGGACAGGAATTTCCACACTTGAATATGATATAGGAATTAAAGTGGTATTTACAGAGAATAAATTTCATAATGGGAAAATGCTCATATATTAAATTTAAAAAGTAGCACAAGACTATGACACAATCACATGAATTTGGTATACATCCACCCCCATATAGAAAAAGGCTTGGAAGGAAATCTACCATATGGCAACAGTGACTATCTTTGTGGCAATTCTATATTTTCCAAATTCTCAACAATGAGCATATTTTAACTGCTATAATTTTTTTTTTTGGTGGGGTAAAGTTGTTTCTATTTGAAAATTACAGCCAACAGGGTTTTTCTAGTTCATCCAGGCCTGGCAGGGGTCCACAGCTACAGTGGTCTAGAGAGAACCCTCCAGGATGTTAGGGACAGCCTCAAGGACATGCTCTCCCCTTGCTTCCCTCAGGATCCCTTCAGGGTTATGCCATAGCCCCACTCCCACTGGTCAGGGCAGAGGGATGAGCTGTGGGGGTGTCAGTCTGCAGGGTCAGCCACTCTGAGGGGTGGCCAGAGCCCACTGAGATGTGCAGATTAGGGGAGAGGGAGCTACTTGCACAAATCTGGATGAATGACCTGTATCGTCCCTTCCCTGGCCAGGTCCCTGGATGCTCTGCCCTCCTCTCTGCCCTCAAGTAGAAATAAAAGCTATATAAATTCACCTTAATTCCACGTTCCATACTAGATGTTTTGCTTTTCCCTCTGGGAGCCACCACAAAAAGCAGCACCCAGGACCACTTATGCCAACTTTTCACAGTATCTGCCTTTCTCTCATCATTTACCAACTCCAGCACGTCCAGGCCCAGTAAGGGGAGGTCCATTCAAGAGGCAGGCAGGGTCTTGGAACTATGTGGTCTGGCTGAGTGCGACCATTTTGCCTTCCAGATAGCTCTGGGCAGGGGTTCCTGCTGCCACCCCTTTGGGCCTTGCCCAATGCACATGCCTAGCCTAGGGTTAAGCCAAGCCAGTCTTCTTCACTTGTATCTCCTGACCATCCACAACACTAAACTCAAGACTCAGGAGGCCTTCACAGTGTGTCCCTCACCTCCCACACCCATGTCTGGCTCATATGGATGCACTTGTTCCCTCAGAACCCTCAGACCATCTCCTGTATACCCTTCTTCCTTTATGAGCTTGAACTCTGTTCCCCTTCCTGCCAAGGGTCCACTTTTTTCCCTTCCCACCATCTGCCTGTTCTATGGGAAGGAACAGCCTGGGTCTCATTAGCCCCTCCCTCATTAGTTGAGCACTTGGCCTGAGGCCTTCCTGGGTGACACCATCACTCCTGGGACACTCATCCACAGCCAACTCACAGGGATTCATGCCAAAGGCCTCAGGAGGCAAGGCAGGACACTCCAAGCCTCCCTTTCCAAAGCAGAGCTAAAGACCTGGGAAGAACCATCACCCATGTGGCATGGAGCCAGTCAACGTCTTCTTCATGAACTCATACCTTCTCCTGGAAGATCTACCCTAAACAAAGGTCTCCTCAACTCCCTCTAGCCTGGAGGTCAAGGGGCCTTGGGCCCATGAGAGGTTGACAAGCCAAGCATGCCTTCTGCAGTGGGGCAATGGCTACCCCTTCCTCCTGAGGCCTCCCTAAAAATGACAGGGGTGAAGGATAACTATACTGCAACAAATGAAATGGGAAACCACTATCAGCACCCAGAGATTTTCACAAAACTCTGGGAGGGAGAGTATGTATGGCCAGGGGAACAGGGGACTGATACAGCTGCCAGGACACTTAAGGAGGGGCTGCAAATGCAAGGGAGGAGCACAGGAGCTCTGGATTCACAGAAGGAACATTAAGTGGGCCTGAAAACTGGAGGACTGATGGAAGCTCTGAGTTCAGCCCCACTCCCTTCCTAACATGCACTAGCAAAACATCAGGAGCCAGCCTACTATCCCACACCAAGAAATGGAAGAGACTTTCCAAAAGACACCAAGAAAACTGTCTACAGTGACCTAGGGCAGCCAATATTGGACCCAATGGCAACACCCTCTGCATCCTGGGTTCAGGTAAAACCTAGCATGATGGTAGCTTGCTGCACATTCCCCTCAAACCTTGCCCACGTAGGGTGGGATTCTAGATAGCCTTCTTGTTACCTCCTCCTTAGAGGGTCAAAGGCAGCCAAGAACCCCCTGGTTTGGGAGGGAAGCCCAAGAAAAAGGTCATGATGCACAAACACTGACCCTAGAAGAAACAGAAATGAGAGGCCACAGAGCAAGAACAGTACATTTTGCAAAGGATGTACTCAGATAGCAAAAAAACACTCTTAGAATTAATAATGTGATTGCTGAAATAAAAATTAAGAATACTCCCAGAATTTAGAGTACAAAGACAAAAACAGCACCAACCTAGAAGGTCACATATTAGACCTTCAGGAATTCTAGGGAGAGAGGACGGAGAAATTGAAGTACAATAGATTTTCAAAGGAATAAGACAAGAAAGTTCCCAGAGCTGAAGGGAGACTTGAATGTTCACATTGAAAGGACTTGCCAAGGGCTGAACAGGATGAATAGATGAATAGAAAAAAACATCAAGACACATCACAGTAAAATCACAGAAGCCAAGGATGTTTCATGGCCCTGAGAGTACCAGCAGGTTCACTTACAAAAGGATTAAGAATCAGCCGATACACCAAAATTCATTGCAGCACTATTCACAATAGTCAAAAGGTGGAAACAACCTAAATGTCTATTATCTGATAAAGGATAAACAAAATGTGGTACATATATACAACAGGTATTACTCAGCCACAAAAAGAAATGAAGTCTTGATACAAGATGGTTCACCTTAAAAACATTATTCTGGTTTTTTTTTTTTTTTGCAATACTGCATCTAGACAACTGGAAAACAAGGCCCTAACCCAGGAGAGAATTGCAGATGTTCCAGGGTGACTGCCTTACCAGGTCACTTCTCCCTTGCTCCCTTGGGTGCTCCCTACGGTGCTTTCTGTCAGCCTGGAAAACTGGAACCACCCTGAACATCAGGGGATGTCTAAGTAGACATAGTTTGTTGCTTCATAGATACTGGGTGGCAGGAAGGATAACATGGATCTCTGTGTACTAACCTGAATACATCTCTGAGGGCTTCCAAGCCAAATCCACTGCCATCAAGTCAATTCTGAATCATAGCAACCCTATAGAACAGAGTAGAACTGCCCCAGAGAGTTTCCAAGAGTATAAACCTTTATGGAGCTCTGGTGGCGTAGTGGATAAGGCACTTGACTGCTAACTGGAAGGTCAGCAGTTCAAACCCACCAGCTGCTCCACTGAAAGAAGACAGAGTGATCCACTTCTGTAAAGGTATACTGCCTTGGAAACCCAATGGGGGTAGCTGTGAGTTGGAAATGACTCGATGGCAGTGAGTTTGGTTTTTATATTTTTTCAAACCTTTATGAAAGCAGACTGCCACATCCATCTTTCTCCCACGAGGCGGTTGGTGGGCTCAAACTACCAACCTTTTGGTTAGCAGCCAAGCACTTTATCCACTGTGCCACCAGTGCTCCTTCCAAGACTTTCCAGGGAGTCATATTTTAAAGTTTCAGAATGATATCAAAGTATCAAGAAATACCTAAGATCAAATCCCAAAATCACATCACACCACAGTGTATGTCTCTTGGAGGTCTTCATCTGTAGTAAAGCAGAGGTATAGGATAATACTCATTGAGCTGGTGACATGCCACCCTTCAACCCTTGACACCTCCCAACCCTTGGCACAGTGTCAAGGTGCTCATGGAGCCAGGCTCGTGGGTTGCAGTATATCTTTAGGCTTTAGCCAAACCACACTGTCAATCAAACACAGCAGCAGCTCTTGCCTTCCTGTCTCTGTGTCTTTGCTTTGATTCTTCCCTGCCATAAAGAGTCAGCTGCCCTGAAAGCCAAGGGCGTTGGGGGTGGCATGATACCCAGAGCTGTGTTTCAGGGACAACCTCTGGGCCTAATGTGCTGGGCAGACAGGAAGCATAGGTCACAGCCTTAAGTGGAGGTAGTGTCAGGAAAAGGGTCAGGAAGCACCAAAAGGTTGGATGGGCAGGTAGGCTCTAGCAACTGACTGGATATGGGGAGGAAGAAGCATATTGATTTTCTAGAAGACATTGAAAACTGACTCTAATACAAGGTGAGGTCACTGAGGAGAAGTTGTTTGCTTTCTGTCTGGGTCATCAGCTGGGGTCCTATTGCAGACAAGAGACAGCCCTGTACACCCTCAGCCAGGTGGTTTCTGTGAAAGGCTCAGGAAGAGGTGTGGTACAACCAAAGAGGAACACTGGGTTTTTCTGCCTTTTGGCTCCATCTGCTGGTAGCTTTAAAGCATATGTTCCTGAGACACAAGGCAAATAATTTCAGAGTGGTTTCATGTTTGTTTCAGAATTTGGGGCAAGTGACAATGATATATTTGGGAAGTAATACCATAAACAGGATGCTCCAAGACAGTCAGTGTTCCTGCCCATCTCAGCTCCTCTCTGGCCTACTCGGTCTCTTACCAGAAAGCAGCTGCACTTGAAGCTACTGTCCAGCTAAATCCTGGCTAGCTCCTAGGGCAGGAGGTCCACAGCCTTTAGGGCCACATGTGCCAGCCACCCCATCTAAGTCAGGAGGAGTGAAGATCCTTAGCAGGGTGTGTTTCTGGCCTCCTGCTCACTCCAGAGGCTCAACAAACCTTTCTAAGACCAGGCGGTTGACAGTCTCACTGGTCACTGGTGGCAGGTTCAGGGTTTCCTGCAGCATTGTTAGCTTCTTCTTCAGGCTCTTGGGGAAGGAAAGAGAAGGATGTGAAAGAAGGGTACCTGCTGAAGTACCAAGTCCAGAGAGATTGCAGAGGTCACGTGCAGCCTGTATGAAGGGCTGGCCCACTTGGAACAAAACAAGGCCAAAAATCTTAGTACCACACTCAGGAGGCCAGGACCACCAGACTCCAGAACCCCTCCCCTGGTGGAGTTCTTCCTCTGATGAGTGAGGGAAAACCCAGGTTGCTGTCTGCCCTCTGCCAAGCAGGCTCCAGCTCAGGACCAAGGTCCATACCCTGATCCACTTTGCCCCAGGAAGACAGAGAGAACCCAGAACCTCCACCACTGCCTGGTGCCCGGGGTCCCGAGAAAAGATAGCCCAGGCCTGTTTCTGAAGCAAGCTAGGAATATTCCTCACCGTAACTTCCTTATCAGCAATCTGTAAGTCCTTCTGGGCTGACTTCAGCTCCAACCTGACCTGGTCCAGTTCGGAGTAGACTGTCTGCAACTGCAATAAAGTGCAGGGAGTGTAAGGATGAACCATGGGATGGCCATTTGCCTTGTCTCATATGCTGCTACCCAGTGCAGGGTCAAGGTAGTCCAGAGTCCAGAAGAGACTGGGGTGGGGGTGACTCCAGCTCTTTGGGACCAGGCCTCAGTTTGGCAAAGTACTTCTGAAGCTGCCTAGCAGCAGGGGCTATTTCCTACACCCTACAATCCATGAACATGCCATGCTCAGAAGTGAAGCCAGCTAGAGTGACTGAACCGGGTCCCAGGAGCCCTCCTATTCCAAGTCTGGTATAAAAACAGGCCTCTGAAGCTGTCACAGTTGGGGGCCTATGCTCCAGCCAGATGAGGTGTCTAGAAGCCAGGAAGAACAGAGAGGAGAAGGAGTGTGCACGTCTTGAGGGGATACCTCCGTGATCTACCACCCAAGGGGACAAGCCACAATGCCTAGTAAGGACTAGTCCTTGCAAGTCATCTAAAAGCTTCTTGGAAGCTGTGCCATCAGGCCCATGGCCTCACTCAGGGTCAAAATGATAAAAGAAGAGGCACCAGATTACAAAAGAAGAGGCACCTTCAAGGAATAGGCCTCTCCCCTCACCCTCTGCTCCCCACTAATTACCTTGCTTCTGGAAGAAAACAAGTCCTTCCTCAGCTTCTCAGTCAGTTCTCCTGAGGCTCTCCGTGCCTCTTTTAGGTTCTCATACTCTCTGCAAAGTAGCCATGGAAAGACATAAGAATGCCAGACTGGGAAACCCTGCTGTTCTGCCAGTCTCTGATCTCCCGAAGGGGGCTCCCAAACCATTCAGCCCACACAGGAGGTATCTGAGACTCTCCATGCCTGTTAGCCAAATGGCCATCTCCTCATCAACGTAAACCCATCACAGTCCTAGCAGAGGCCCTATTGTTACTGAAAGGTGGGGTTACAGTGGAGAATCCGAACAGTTTCTGACTCAAGCCAGGTAGCTCAGTACTGATGGGAAATAAGCTCCAGATTAGATGTCATAGCTCAGACAGCTCTGATGATCCCCTTAGAAATAACACAATACCCACTCAACTCTCTCAATAATCTTGAGGTCTATTACTATCTCCACTCAGGAAGTTCAGGGTCAGAGAGGCTGAGAAGCTGGCCCTAGGCCACACAGCTAATATGAGGTGGGGTCAGGGTTCAAACTGAGGTAGCGTGGCTCAGGGATTGCCCCTTAACTCCACCTGCTCTGCTTTATAAGAGATGGGCAACAGATGAAAAGGCATGGCTGGGATCACATAGCCTGGCTCCAGGGCTTAGAGAGAGTCAGAGAACGTACTTCTTAAGGGACACACAATACACAGCCAACTGCTCCACTGCTGACTGGCCCACACCCATGTCTCGGATCATCTCCTCCACCTCGGGCCGCTGGCTCTGGAGTAGAAGCTCAATCCTGAAAAACACCCAGCCCACGGCATTTGAAATCTGGAGGCTGAAGGGTAGATACCCAGTGCAGCTCTGCCTCCCTTTCCTGCCGTTGCTATAGTGACAGCCTCGGCTGCTAGGATGCTTTAGCAGGCAGGTCTGCCCAAGGACAGACCCCACAGCAGAGCTGAGCATAGCTCTACGGATGCTTCTGGGGAAAGAGGACTGCCAGCAGAAGGACCTCAAGGTCAAGGATCCCCAGAGAGAGGTTTCTAGAGGAAAAGGCCCGTCAAGTCGTCTGGCCACAAGCCGCAGAGACAGGGAGGAGTATGGCAAGAGCCCCAGTGGAAAGTGGAGGAGTCCACAGAGGTTGAGCAAGGAGACCTATGCCCATGCTTTGCTGGCCTGAGCCCTCCATGGCCTTTGGAGATTTGAGTCACAGTGATGGTCCAACTTCATTCCCACAGTCCTAAGAGCTGCGCCACCTGAGAATCCTGGGTGCAAAGGCACAGGGCAGGCCCTGGGCTCCAAGTTTACCGTTCCATGGTCTTCATCTTGCTCTTGAGTCGGCGGGCCTCCTCCCGTGCTTGTTTGGTCTCATCCTGCTGTTGTTCCAAGTACTTCATCTGCTTCTGAAAAGCAAGCACACCCACACTTGTTGCTTGGAGGCTCCCAGAAAACTATGGCTAAGGTCACTGGCTTGTCTTCCCTGTACCTTTTGAAAATGCTGATAACCATGTGTCTCTATCCCCTAGGTGACAATGCTCCTGGGTTCTAATCTGACTTGTGTTTACTCTGCTAAGAGGCCCTGGGCCAGCTGCTTCTTCATCTACCTGTTTGCTTCCTTCTGAGATATCTCTCATTACAGCATATCTCACTGCCAGCATCTACAGGCCTACTGTGGGCTGCTGAGGTCCCACAGCCTGACCTCATGGTGCATGTTGTGTAGGTAGCTGGAGAAATCTGGAGCACAACCCAGGCCTCACCATCTACACCCATGGACAGAGCTGAGGCTGCCACTAGCACAAAACCACTTCACTTCTGACCTGGGAACACCTTCAGAGACTTGTGCTCTACAGCAAGTTCTGGTTTGCTCCTTTCCTCCGACCAGCGAGACCACATGATCTAGCCCAGCCCCTGAGCAGGAGCAGAGACAATGAACATCCTGAGGCCTTGTCTGTTCACAAAGATGTTCCCTTCCCCTTTCATATGGCATCCAGCAAGGTCTGCTCCTGCCTGCGAGGCCAGAATATCAGTTATGGTTCAGATCAATAGTCTCATGCCCCTTGGAGAGCAAGAGGCTCACCATCCCAGGTTGATACAAAATTCATCTGGGTCTGGGGCCGCTTGCTCTGCAGGCTTTGATCTGCCCAGTCAGCTCTGCACAGCCGACTTCAAAGGTTCCTGCTTCTCCCTGGGATGCTGTTTGATCTGGCTCCAGAGAGCGGCCCAGCCAAGGACTGGCGTGTTAATGGATGGCTCCTCAGGCTGGTCTCATCAGTGGAGTATGAACCACTTTTGGAAATGTGGCCCAGCCTCATCGAAGTCTTGGCTGAGCAGCCCCTCTGAGGAAGACTGGGAAGGACTCACCTCTGTAAACTGTTTGTTGTTGTTATATGCCGTCAAGTCATCTCCGACTCATAATGACTTATGTACAACAGAATGAAACACTGTCTGGCCCTCTCTAAACTACCTAGTACAAAATCTTTTCTCATGGGCTGGATGGGTACAGTATGAGAGGACCTGGGGAAAAAGGGTTTCACTTTCATTTTACAACTGCACAAACCAAGTTATTGATCAAGACAGAACCAAAAGCTAAACCCAGTGTAATGAGCCCAGGACTGGGGCTACCTCCCTGCCAATTCTGCCCATAGGACCTGGGGACCCACCTTGAGGGTAGAGCACAGCATCTCAGCCTTGTCTAAGGCCTGCTGCAGAGATTCCACTGTGGCATTGCGCTCTTCCAGTGTGTCCCGCAGACTGTCAATGATGGCCTGGCTGTCTCGCTTCTCCTTCTCTGGAGAGAGGATCAGAAGGGGAGTCCATCCATCAGCATGGGGTTCCAGCACCCCACTCATGAGCCAGGTGATTTCTCAGGGCTCAAGCCAGAAAGAGGGGCTGCCCACTCCTCTCTCTGGCATGCAACAAATCAGGGAAGCTGAACCAAAGCCTTTTCAGTCAGGGGGATAAGACCTACTTTTTGTGCTTGGGACTACTTGGAAAAACATTTCACTACTCCCTCTTCCCATAGATCTAGTTACTTCACCATCTCAAAACTTAAGCAGATTCCTGCCAGACTCAGCAGCTTAGTCCTCTCCTATGGATATTCTATCCCATCACCTACTCCATGCCTTCCAGCCTGCATATTAGACAAGAAGGTCACTTGGTCCAGGTGGGAAGCTTTAGTCATCTCCCTTTTCTCTCCTTTTCTGCCAGTCATAGGAGTGAGCAAGACTCACAGATAAAACAGGGAGTGTTCCCAGAAAGTTGGAGGCCTTCTTCCCAGGACCCCTCCCTCTAGCATCAAGTCAGGGGCTTCCCAGGGTCGCTTGTCTCTTGCTAACATACCTTTCTGGGAAAGCTGGGCTCTGATATTGTCCAGTTCATTCTGCAAGGTAATATCCACAATAAGCAGGAGGAAAGTCATAGCCGGCCTCCACATGACCTCCTATAAGACTAAGGGGAGCCCCAGAAGGGGACAATGAGGCCTGGGGGTCCAGGGAAGCATGGACCCTGCTGTACCTTAAGGCCAAGCTAAGTCACCAAGCACTGCTTCTACGTGCCTTAAAAAAAGTAGGTAAGATAGGGAAATACAATCTCAAGAGCAAAAACCCAGGACAGGGAGAGCAGTAGAAGATGGGGAAAAGTGAAATTGGGTCCATGGGATCACTCAACACCAGAGGCTTCAATTGCTTCCTTGGCCCTGTGCTGACCCTCACTCTCTCTAGGCATCACAGCTGTACTCAACAGGGACACAGAGTAGGAATGGCCAAGGACCTTGAGCTACCACCTCTCCTCCTCACCCGGGGTCCTGCCTGCTTCACAGCCTACTTCCCTCCAAGCTCCAGGCTGGCTCTACATACCACAAGCCTTTTAGGCCCAGAATCCAATAGGAAGCACCAACTGGGGTAGGTGAAGCAGGACAACCATGCGACCTTGGGTGAAACCTCTTATGTGCTAAGTTCTAACCAGGCTGTCATGAGGGTCAAATAAGCCTCTTGAAGTCTATATACATATTCTAGAGCCACTGCCCACAGAACCACCAAAAGGCTGGGGCAGAACTGAGCCCATCTCCCTCTCAGGGGTCCAAATCAATTAACAACCCTGTTGGCAAGAAAGGTGACTACTCTACCAGCAGGAAATCCAAGCTCCACAGATCTGAAAGGCTTGCCCTAGTTTCACGGTGGCAGCTGCATGGAATCCAGGCAAACTCACCTCCAGATCGCCCTTCTGAGATCAACACACAACTCAGAATCTCACGTATGACTTATACTAAGGCCCAGTCCTAAGGGGTAGATCTGTTCCTTGATGTCTCTATCCAGGACTATGGGGATAGGAGCTTCTGGTAGTCAAGCTGGTTAGTGTGGGCTGAACAGCTGGGGGATCCAAACAGAGGGTAGGGAAGGAGCTGCCTGACAACGGATACCAGCCCAAGGTGGCTGTGCCATTACCCATAGTCCCCTGGCTCCTTCCACACCTTACTCTGAGCTACTTGAGACATTTCCCCCGACTGCCTAAAACCTGGCTTTGAAAGCCAGAAAGAAATGGAATTGCCTTTGTTGCCTTCATCACAGAGAGGATACCACTTAAAACTAGGAGCAGTTACCATGACGATGAACATGCTGGCTCTAAGCACAAAAGTTCCATGTGCTTAAAGCAATGCAGCTCCAAGGATATCACTAGACCCCTGGGCCAAGGCTTTAACAAACCTCGATCTAACCAACATCCCCAAAGGGTTTTTGCCAGCTCCCTCATGTACAAAAAAAAGCTAAATTTTAGACTTAAAAGGGAAGCAGCAGATGTATAGGAAGGAACCCACCTACCCTTGCAGTGTGGGTTTCTACCCTGGGTACATATCTTGATTCCAGGGGCTCTGTCTTTTATCCCTGATCTGGGGAAGGCTCAGGTACCTGGATTGATACCAAGCTCCCCAGACAGTTTTAAGGCACAGCTAGTGTTGGTCCATATATCTTCCCTGGCTGAGTGGAGGAGTTTTCTAATCTGTCTGTAACTATTCTAGCAACAAAGTGAGTTGGGCTGCAGTCCTCTGCAAGATGGGGAGAATCTTGGGAGAATCACTCTGCCTTTAGGTCAAAATTGCCCTGAAATTCTAAGAGGGGTGTCACAGAGGTGCAGCCACTTTCTTCCCTAATAGTGTACATCTCTAGTGACTATGTCTCTAACCCTGTCCCTCATCATTTGTCCTCTGCTCTCCCTAGTCCCTCCTTGAAATTTCTATCAAGTCTCCCCATAATAACCCCATCTCCATGCTCTAAGCATTCTCCCTGGGTGAGAGTGGGAATGAATTCCCTGAGGCCTAAGGTTCAGTGGGATGAGATCAATTCTGGGTACCTTTAAGAACTCTGCATCCAAGACATTCTCCTCCTCCTGGGCAAGGTCAAAGAAGAGCTTATTGATAATGGTTCTTTTGCCAACCTGGATAGGAGAATGAGAGAGTATGACTGTATAGCTGGGTCATAGGCAAGCAGAATGGGGTGTGCATGGGTCCAACTGCCTACCTAACATGAATGCCATTCCTGTGCCCAGGTCTAACTTTTCACAGTACACCCCTTGGAGACAGAAGACCTCTCTAACCTTTCAGGCAACCCAAGCCAGGACTGCTAGTTTAGCGGATGCTAAAGTCATGTCACTACAGACCAATGTGGTAAACTGCTCACAAGATACCCCAACTCCAGGTGTTGGGGAGTTGAGGAAATGGGGAAAGGTAGGGAAGGTGGCTAAATCTATCCAGGTGAACATTGGCCCAGGCAACAAGTCCATCTGTCAGCTACCCTTAGATTGTAAGCAGGTCTCCTGAGCCACTCATGGGTATTATAGCAAGTGAAGCCCAACTAGTCTCAAATCATAAGAGCCCAAAAAGGATGGAAATGCTGCTCGGTTTCAGGTTCTTTACTCATTCCTGATTCCTGGCAAGGAGAAGATATCTTCACCTGAGGTAGTCCCATGCCAATGATCTCACCTGGATTCGGCATTGTGGGCAGGTCCGACTTGGTGCTGTCTCAAACCACTGAATCAGGCTGGAATGAGAAGCATAAAAACAGACTGGTGAACACTAGCTTGGCTGGGGACACAGAGGCCAGGCAGCTGCTCTGCTAACAATGAGATCTGTTTAGCTCCTCTTCAACCTAATGACTGCCTGCACAAGAGGGCAGCACCATGGGGAGTCATCAGGCAAGGCCTAACCAGTTCTCAGCACTCAAATCAACTGGCCTCTATTTTGGCCCTGCTGGTTTAGCTCTGTCTGAGTGGTACAAATGGTTAAGCATTTGACTACTAGCTGAAAGGCTGGCAGTTTGAATTCATCCAGAGATACCTCAGGAGATAGGACTGGAGATCTACTTCTGAAAGGTCAAGACTTGAAAACACTGCAGAGCAGTTCTTCTTTGCACATATGGGGTTGCTGTGAGTCAGAATTTATTTGACAACAATTAACAACAACAACCACCCCTGAGCTGGTCTTTTGGCAACATTCTAGGCTTTCCCTGGGGCAGGGGTAGAGGGCGCAACAGTCAAAGCCCAGGGTTCCCCAGAGACTATTTTCAACTGGGACCTCAAAGGGCTACAGTTGCAAGGTAAGGGTAAATATCAGTAAAGATATTTCATGTTCATGGATTAGAAGACTTAATATTGCTAAGATGCTAATACTACTCAAAGCAATCTACAGATTCAATACAATCCTGATCACAATTCCAAAAGCCTTCTTTATAGAAACAGAAAAACCAAGCTTCAACTTTATATGGAATGTCAAGAAGCCATACATATTTAAAACAATATTGAACAAGAACAAAGCAGGAGGACTCACATTTCCTGACTTTCAAACCACTATATGGCTACAGTAATCAAAACAGCCTCATACTGGTTTAACAATAGATAAACCAACCAATGGAATAGAACTGAGAATCCAGGAATAAACTGATACATCTATGGTCAACTGATTTTTGACAAGGGTGCTAAGTCTATTCTATGGATAAAGAAGAGTCTCTTCAGTAAATGGTTTTTGGAAAACTGAATTTCCATATGCAGAAAAAAGAAACAGGATCCCTGCCTCACACCATACACAAAACAAATTCAAAATGGATTAAGGACTTAAATGTCCGAACTAAAACCATAAAATTCTTAGAAGAACAAGCAAAACAATGCTGTCAGAACTCTTTCAACAATGGATTATTTAATGTGATAACAAAAGGACAAACAGCAAAAGACAAAATAAATGGGACCTTGTGAAAATTAAAAACTTTTTTCCTCAAAAGAAAGTGAGTAGTTGGACCTGTGGAATTGGGACCATAGTCGCAGGGGACATCAAGCTCAACTGGCATAACATACTACACAAAAACATTGTTTCACATCCTACTTTGGCAAGTAGCGACTGCGATCTTAAAAGCTTGCAAGTGGCCATCTAGATACAACGATGAGTCTCTCCTTGTCCAGAGCAGAGAAGAATGAAGAAAACCAAAGATTCATGGAAACAATTAGTCCAAGGGACTGGTATGCCCTGCGATCTTCAGCCTATATAAGACCAGAAGAACTAAATGGTGCCCAGTTATTACTGTCAATCACTCAGAGGGGCATCTATGTAAGAGATCCTGGATAAAGTGGGAGAACAATGTGGAACAAAACTCAAAATCATTAAAAAAAAAAAAGGAACCAGGTTTGCTGGTCTGATAGAGCCTGTTGGAACCACTGAGACTATGGGCCCTAGCTGCCCTTCAGGTCTGGAATGGAACCTAGTCTTGTGGCTTCCAGCCAAACAAAACACAGGCATATGAGCTGAACATTTATATTAGGTAGATACACTCCTTGGAGAGATCAATCATGGGATAATAGAAGGGCTGCGTATATGCACAGAGAGACAACTCAGGGGGCAGGAGTGCATGGAGGGAAGGACACAGGGAAGAAGTGATTATGGGGAGAAAGTGGGAAGGGAGCTATTGCATTGTGGCAAATTGCAGTCAATGTCATGAGACTAAGTGTATGTGAATTGCTAGCTGGAAAGTGAATTTGCTCTGTAAACTTTCACCAAAATCCCAATAAAAATTAAAAAACAAACAAACAAAAACTTTTGTTCTTCAAAAGACTTTACCAAAAATGTGAAAAGACAAGCTACCCCATGGGTTTGGAAGCCCACTGCACTGTCTGCTACCATGCCTCCTGCTTCTGCTAGCACCATTTATTTGCTGTTACTTCTCACTATCTCTCAGCATCTCAGCAAAGTGTTACAGCTCTTTGTCTCCTGGGTTGAGGAGTTTCAGTGCAGGGATCTAGGGTGCAAAGGACATGCTCCACCCCTGGTTCTTGTTTCCTGATAGTAATGAGATTCCCCTTTTCCACCACCCTTTGAGGCAGTAAATCTTTAAGGAAATAGATTGCCCAGTCTTCCTTCCCTGGAGTAGTCAGTGAGTTTGAACAGCCAGCCTTCTGGTTGGCAATCAAGTGCCTTAGGCACTGTGCCACTAGAGCTCCTCACCATGAAGGATAGCTCATTTTAAGCCTAGTGGGGGGGGTGTGTGTGTGTGGCAAAACCATGTTTCCTACTTTAGGGTTCCATATACCTTATTTGCATGGCCCTACCACCACAGGAACTTTATTTACATTATTAGCAAGCTACTCAATCCCCCTTGGTGGGTCACAAGCACCTCACATTTACTTAACCCCACCCAATCATTTGGTGGGAATTACAAAGATACGTCTAGACCAAAAAAACCAAACTCACTGCCATCAAGTTGGTTCTACTCATACTGACCCTTCCCTAGGTTTCTGAGGTGGTATCTTTACAGAAGTAGATTGCCCAATCTTCCTTCCATGGAGTGGCTGGTGGATTTGAACTGTCACCCTTCTGGTTAGCAGTCAAAAAGTCTTAGGCACTACACCACCAGAGCTCCCAAGATATGGCTAGAAGGGCCATATTAAGTAATTCACTGCACTGCAGGACCTCATAAAAATGATAAAGTTTTTCTTAATCCAAAAAAGAAAAAAGACAAGCTACCAATTGAGAGAATATCTTCAGAATCCATATCTTACTGCCACTGAGTTGATTATCAAGAGCCATATATCTGATAAAAATCATGTATATATATATTTTTTCTACCCAATATATATATATATATATATTATATATATAAAATGTTGACAGCTTAATAACAAAAAGACAAATAACTCAATCATAAAATGCACAAAGGACTTGAATAGACATTTCAGCAAAGAGGGGATTCAAATTGCCTTCAAACATATGAAAAGATGTTCAGCATTATTAACCATCAGAGAGATGCAAATCAAAGCCACAATGAGTAGGATAGCTAAGACAAAAAGAAAAAAACAGAAAATAGTAAATGTTAGTGAGTATCTTGGTTCTCTAGTGCTGCTATAACAGAAATACCACAAGCAGATGGCTTTAACAAACAGGAATTTACGCTCTTACAGTTTAGGAGGATAAAAGTCCAAGTTCAAAGTGCTAGCTCTAGCGGCTGGGTGAAGGCCCCTTGACTTTGGTCTTCAGCTCTTCTTTCTGTTCCAGGACCACTGTAGCTGGAGGCTTTTCCTGACTCATGCAGCTGCTGGATACTGAGGCTGATGATCCCAAGGGTGACAGGTAAAATGGCAGTCCCAGTATCAGCAGGAAAACACAGCAGACTACTGGTTCAAGTCCAGGAACTGGAGATGAAGACTCAGCCAAATGCCAGTTCCAATGTCAAAAGTTAAAGAGATCTTTCTCAAAGCCTCTCCGTATATACTGGAAGCAGGCCACAGCCCAAGGGCAACTACTTACCTGCTTATAGTAGATACCACCACAGAGGTGATTACAATCTCATCATGAGTGTGGTGCAGTGAATTACTTGGTATAGCTTTTCTAGCCATGGTCTTTGTGACTCCTACTAGATTACTGGCTGGGACCATGCAAATAAGGTGTATGGAACTCTAATGTATGGATTGGTTAGTTCTGTCGTTCTGCCAGGCCTAAAATGAGCCTTCCTAGAGGCAGAAACCAGCCACTCCTCAGAAGGAAGACTGGGCAATCTACTTCCGTAGTGATACTGCCTCGGAAACCCAAGGAGGGGTTGCTATGAGTTGGATCCGACTCGACAATGAGTTTGGTTTGGTTGGTAGAGGCAGAAAGGGGGATCTCACTACCATCAAGAGAGAAGAGCTGGACCTGAGCTCTTGGACGCAAGATTCCTGCGTTGGACCTCCTTGCCAGAGATGCCCTGGCTAAGATGCCCTGGCCAAGATGCCTAGCTAAGAAATGGTAGCAGAGGAATGAAGAGGCACAAGACAGAGCAGCGACCTTGCCAGCCCATGGAGTGAGAAAGCTGAGTGCCCCTGGGCAGGAGACTTCCGGGCAGAGTAGGGTACACATAGGTGTACCTATTGGCAGGGCTAAAAGAGCTTTGTAACACTTGCCTGAGCAGGGAAGAGGTTGGGCTGAAAGGCCAAAGGCCAGAGAGGTATACCTGAAGGTATAGCAGAGAAGAGACTGTCCTGATCAAAGAATTGTATCCTGAGAGTGTTCCTAAACCTGCATTGTAACCTGTTACTTCCCTAATAAACCCCATGATCATGGGAGGACAGGGAGACAAGCTACCAATAGGAGAATATCTTCAGAAACCATACATAAACAAGAAGCTAATAACCAAAATATATATAAAACTTGAAAGATTCCACAACAAAAAGACAAATAACCCAATCATAAAATGGACAAAGAACTTGTACAGACATTTCACCAAACAGGACATTCAAATGGCCACCAAACACATGAAAAGATGCTCAACATCATTAGCCATCGGAGAGATGCAATTCAAAACCACAATAAGATACCATTTCACTCCCACTAGGATAGCTGAGATATTAAAAAAAAAAACCCTCAAAATCACTAATGTTGGTGAAGATGTAGGGAAACTGGAATCCTTATCTATTGCTGGTGGGATTTAACCATTTTACATTAATGGTAAAATGGTACAGCCATGGAAAACACTGTGACAGTTCCTCAAGACACTAAAAATAGAACTACCATATGACTCACCAA